AGTTTATGTAAGGTTCTTCAACAAAGACAAGAATGTGTTGTGTGAAGACCTGTTAGGTGTTAGTCCCCTTCAGACTAGCACAAGAGGAGAGGACATCTACCTGGCAATCAAGGAGATGTTAACAAAGCGAGGAATAGAGCCGAAACAAGTAGTTTCAATAACAACAGATGGAGCCCCTGCCATGATAGGAAGAGAGAAAGGAGCTGTAGCAAGGATGAAAGAGGACAATTCCAAACTCATCTCTTATCACTGTATAATTCATCAATCTGTCCTGTGCTCCACCCTGTCTGATGAGCATGCTGAGGTGATGAACACAGTGATGAAAATGATAAAATTTTCTCAGGGCATCCTCTTCCTATCAGCATTGCTTGCTCAAGGAATTCCTGAGAGAAGTTGAGGCAAACGCTGATGATCTTTTGCTTCACAACAATGTGAGATGGCTCAGCAAAGGCAGAGCGCTTTTGGTCCATCAGAAGGGAAGTAGCAGCTTTCTTAGCAGAGCTGAGAGGTCAGAAGGCAACACAGTTTTCTCTCTTTTTAAAAGATAAGAAAAATATGGATAATGTAGCATTTTTGGTTGATATCACATCACATCTGAATCAACTGAATCTGAAGCTACAGGGCAAGGACAATTCAGTTTGTGAACTGATGACAGCTGTCCACTCCTTTCAGAGGAAACTTGAGGTGTTCAAGGAAGACCTACAGGGAGACTGAACACTTCCCAGTAGTGCAGGGACAGGTTCAGGGACAGAGAGATGTGTCTCATTTTGTTGACTTTGTTGATAAGCTTATTGTAAACTTCAGCAAACGTTTTGACAGCTTCAGCTTTGGACAGCAGCTCACCATGTTCATTCAGAACCCATTTCTAATCACAGATGTCAGGGGGTTCTCAAAAGAAGTCACACAGCACTTCAAGTGGGTAAATGTTGGGCCTCTCCAGCTGCAATTGATTGATCTGCAAGCAGATATGGCCCTGAAAGAGCAGTTCAGCAGAAGTGACCCTGCCACTTTCTGGCTCCAAATGGTCTCTGAGACAACTTTCCCAGGTTTGAGAAAAGTAGCCCTGTTCATCTTGACCATGTTTGGGTCTGCATACAGCTGTGAGGCAGCTTTCTCCATAATGAACATTATTAAAACTAAATATCGTTCCAGGCTCACCAATGAGCACCTTCACATGTGCATGAGAATGACCCTGACACCATTCCAGCCCAGATTTAAAGTCCTGGCAGGAGAAGTTAGAGCTCAGTTCTCTCACTGAACTGAAAGAACAGAAAGTGGGGGCATACAATATAAGAGGGGAAGAAAGAGAAACTGTAAAACTGTTCAATTGTTAAGATGTATTTATATTCATTTATTGTAAAAATGTGTTGAGACAGTTAACAAAGAAAAAGGGAAACTCAAGCTGCTGGTTTTTTATTTTTCTAAAATTAATCACTTTATTTTAAGATGCACAATTTTTCAAATGCTATTTTTTTATTTTCTCTATTTTATTTTTAAATGCAGCCTTAACATATTGAGAGAAAAACATTATTATTATTATTATTATTATTATTATTATGTATAGTTCAATGTACACATGTATACTTCAATGTTTATTGACAATAAATATTTTTGAATTGTACTTTGTTTAATTTAACAGTCAGTTGCAGATGTTGATACAACTATGAGGCTACTTCAATATATATATATATCTCACACCTTCGCTTGAGGAAATTTTCTCTCAGTGGACCTCTTGAAATTTTAGTTGAATACCCCTGGGGGGTGTACTACGAACCTTGATTAGTGGGTTAGCGAGGTATGGTGCGCTCAAAGCCTGGGTTAGCTGTCATACGAAAGTTGCTCTCTTTTAGCGTCGCTATATCACCATGGTAACTTATTCTGGCAACCAAACCTGGTCAGGAGGAGGTTTTCAGCTAAGTCTTTCCGATTAGATCGGCTTCTTAAAGCTGAGCGCCGCTTCCTAGCCCCTCCTTTTTCCTCTTTCGGGACAGATCCGATCCCTTGGCATTGCCTGAGGATATTCTTTATGAGAGATACAGGTTCTCATCAGAGGGTATTCGCTATTTGATCCTCCTTGTTGGACCTTATGTAGGCAATGCTACAAAAAGAAGCCGTGCGCTTACTGTTGCGCAGTGTGTCTGTGTTTCACTGCGATTTTTTGCCAAGGGTACATATTTGCATACAGTTGGTGATGCCGAAAATATAAGCAAAAATACAGTGTGCCTTGCAATACGCAAGGTTGTAGCTGCCCTAAATACATTGCTAAATATGTCCGTGGTGTTTCCCAGCTTCTTGCCAACACAAACTGTCAAGGAAGGATTTTATCAACTCGTAGGTAAAAGAAAACACCTGTTTGCGTGAATGAGTGGTAGAGTGGAGGTAGCACGTCAGTCTTGAGATTTTGCGTGCTGGGTTCGTTTCCCGAGTGAAGTGCATTTATGTGTAGTTTAATAAATTCTATGGTAACACTTTACAATAAGGTATGCAAAAAGTGGGTAGTTACTGAGGAACGAATGAGTAACGAATGATGAACGACCAGGGCCCTAACTGGGGCCCTAACAGGGCCCTAAGTGACAGTTACTCAGTAACTACTGAGGAGTTACTGGTAAACAGACTAGGGGACTACTGTATTCGTTACTGGGTAACGAATGATGGGTAACACTTTACAATAAGGTACGCAAAAAGTGGGTAGTTACTGAGGAACGAATGAGTAACGAATGATGAACGACCAGGGCCCTAACGCGGCCCTAACAGGGCCCTAAGTGACAGTTACTCAGTAACTACTGAGGAGTTACTGGTAAACAGACTAGGGGACTGCTGTATTCGTTACTGAGTAACGAATGATGAACAACCAGGGCCCTAACTGGGGCCCTAACAGGGCCCTAAGTGACAGTTACTCAGTAACGAATACAGTAGTCGCCTAGTCTGTTTACCAGTAATTCCTCAGTAGTTACTGAGTAACTGTCACTTAGGGCCCTGTTAGGGCCCCAGTTAGGGCCCCAGTTAGGGCCCTGGTTGTTCATCATTCGTTACTCAGTAACGAATACAGTAGTCCCCTAGTCTAGTGGTTCCCAATCTGTGGGCCACGGCCCTCTAGTGGGCCGCGGAGGTACTGCAGGTCGGCCGTGAGAGGCCTTTCAATTGAAAAAAAGAATCATGAAAAAAAAAAATCATGACGGATTACTAAAAGGGATTGAATGGTTCAAGTTTAAAAATACCCAAAGAGATTTACATTCAAATAAATAAAATAAAATAAATGAATTCAATGTGCCAACCTATGTAAATCAAAATGTAGGCTTAGCACACATGTAAATATGTTGGAACAGTTTGTGATTTTAAAAAAGAATGCGTTGACAAATATGTGTCTCAGAGATATGAATAGGATAAAAGTTTGGGTGGGCCTCGGAAGATTTTCAGAATTGAATTTGGGCCTCAGCAGTCAAAGGTTTGGGAACCTCTGCCCTAGTCTGTTTACCAGTAACTCCTCAGTAGTTACTGAGTAACTGTCACTTAAGGCCCTGTTAGGGTCCCGTTAGGGCCCCAGTTAGGGCCCCAGTTAGGGCCCTGGTTGTTCATCATTCGTTACTCATTCGTTCCTCAGTAACTACCCACTTTTTGCGTACCTTATTGTAAAGTGTTACCAATTCTATTTCTTATGTCATATGAAATACTTATTCATTAATGTTATGGAATTATCCAGTTTGGTAATCTAGATGGGGGTAAAAGGCATGATGATGGACAGGCAAGATATGAACCCCGGTCGCTGGCGTTCAGCTCACATACTAATCCACCACACAACCGTCGCTACCTTCCAGCACATGCAATACGTTCCTTACATATAGGATGTATTTGAAATGAATTCCCTAAATTACACAATAAAGCAAGTTGGAGGTTGCTTTTGCATTTTGCAATCATATGCACTCTATTGGGATTAATGGTGAACAATTCTGCATTTGGCATTTTTATGTTTAGACAATTAGGCTATGCAGAATCTTTTCACGCATTCACAGAATCTGCTATTTTTTGCCAGCACGCCTCCCTAGCCTTATTATGGGCAACTGTATTGCCCCTTGCCGTTATTTGCTTCTTTAACTCCTCGTATGAGTTCATAATCACTACTTGCTCCTCCTGAGTGACATACATAGCCTGTGTTCGCTCCGTCGGATCCATTTCGTCAAGGTGAATAACGTTGGGTTACGCCCTTTTTATGTGAACGTGCATTGAAACTAAAGCGGAAAACCTGGCTTGACAAAGTGACTCGTAAGTGAGCTTCGTGGAACCGTTTAACTCTGATCGCGAGTTTCGTATTTGTCGATCCAGGTTATCCAAAGAAAGCCTGGGTATGTTCAGCGAGCTTCGTAGTATACCCCCCCCTGGTCTATATATAGCACCTTTTAAAACAACAAAGTTACAAGGTGCTTCACAGGACACAGATACACAAATACAAAGACAAGTACATATACAGCTATATTGCAGAATGAGGAAGTGACCATAGCCGCAGGAACATGTTCTCAGCAGGGGGTGCTGAGAAAAAAAATGCTCTGTGCTACACTTAACTCGCAACTCGCTACATTGATAAAAAAAATATGCTTGACTCCTACACCATGGCAATATTGTTACATGCAGCGGTGACACATAGTCAGCTGCGTTATTTATTCACAAAGCCACCCAGAAAATACACAATGATACAAGTGAAGCATATGTAGCCTACGTGTAGTATACACATTGATATGAGTCTCATTATTAGAAATAAAGAGAAAATCATGAAACACAACACTTAAACACAATGAGACATGAAATCAGTTCTCAATCAAAAGCCGAAAGGAACTTTTAATTCACAGATAATTCAGAGCTGATTGGTCGTATGTTTGTAGTAACAATGAACCCGGAACCTCGGCCACATTAATTAAGCCTGCAAAAATCTTAACTTACACAAAACAATACTACATACACATACTTATACCATGGTCTGGGTGAATACTCGATTCTTCTTGGCTGGAGGGTGTAGGTTAAAAAGTGTCAATTTACACCTGTTACTGCGAGAGGTCCCGGGTTCAAATCCCGGACGAGCCCCCATTATTATGTTATGTGTCCATGGGAAGAATGATGGTACAACATAACATAATAAGAGACAAGACAGAGGGTGACGGTTTAGGGGTTTATTACCGTATTCCAGAAACAAAACTGAACAAGGTGGTGGTTTATGTAGTTGTAGGGGGTGTATGCTGTGTAAAACAAAACAGAAAATAAACCTAAGTCTACCTAACTCAAAAAGAAAAGCAGACTTCCTGGCTCCCGACCATGAACAAACACACAATGGAATTAAGTGAGTCTTCCGGGAAACCATCTTCCCTACACTCCCTGAACCTAACGTAAAACCGTGCAAAAACCCAACACCAATCACCACCTGCCCAAAAGGGATAAAAAGTAACTAAAGAGAGTTTAACAGTGGGCAGCCTGCAAAGGACTACACACTAGGAGGTTTACCTGAGGTTTCAAACTAAGAAAGCGCTAGGTTCAAACAAAAGACAATGTAAATATGTAAATAAAGTAGGGCTGTCAAAATTAGCATGATAATAACGCGTTAACGCAATCTTATTTTAATTCGATTAAGAAAAAATTACGCATTAACACACTTGCGTGCTTGCACGCGAGCTCTGTGTTTGTCAATCGACTTAGCCTAAAAAAAACATGGCGTCGACGGGTGAACTACTGAAGGTATTGTGTATAAAATATGCTTTTTAATAAACTATCTGTACACTTACGAAGTTGTCAATGCCTCGTTTTATATGTTAAGACCCTCATTATAATACCAAAGAAGTGTCAGGCTTTTTCTAGCCTTGTAAGTGCTTTAAAAATGTATTACATTTTTTAATTTTTTACCAGGTCAGTTGCCCATAGCACTCAAACGTATAGCAGTTTGGTAGAATCGGCTAAAAACAGCAAACTTAGCTTCGTGTCATATCGGCTTTTTTTTGCTCTCCATGGAACGTTGGAACTCGTTATCATACTAAACATATCCCAGAACCAGTTTTTGTTGAAAGTTCAATTACCTGGATGCATAAATGAATCTCCATAGATATATACCATAGTGTTTCAAGTTTTAGGGTATTTCTTGCACCCCTACTATAAGGACAAGTATTAAGACCACAAGAAAATGAAATGCCTTATTTTTGATATATTTTGATTGATTACGGTGATGACGGTATTGCAAAATCCATGTTGTGGCACAACATCATACCGGTGTATCGGCCACCCCAACCGTACATATTTTTTGGTTGGACCGGCAGGCCAGCCCTATATCCACAACACTCTGTCACTGAGTGACTGAGTGATAGAGTTGCACCATTGGTCGTTAGTAATGATGTGGTTGTTGTTGTTTCCCCATTGGACGGGCAATAGCCCGCGCAAACACTTTCTGGCTGCATCTGATTGGACGTCATCGGACCGACGCTGTCAGTTCTGGGCTGTCTGCTTTTGGATTTCAAACTGGACAAACGTGGCGGCCACCTTTGACAAACGATCTCATTCAACAGCTAAATAGTACACTAAAATGAAAACATTTTAGGAAATAAATAAGCCATGCAGTTGCTGAATCTGTTTTCATTTTAGATCGACAACAGTTAGTTTAAATGTTTTTCGGGAGTTTCCAGAGGCGGCAAGTATCACCAGACGCCCCGCATTTGCATAAAGTAGACGAGACACCCAATCTCTCGAAACTCAACACCACACTACCAGAATGCATTGGAGAGCTGCTCACATACACAATGAATGGGAGGCATGGAAATGACGGTGTGGCAGTTGCTTCCTGCCACACGCCACCATAGTGGCTTTTGCTGGGGCCCTCCGACACAGGAAACAGGTAGATGTTGATTGAAGAACGCATCTATTGGAGATGGCGAGATGTAATACGCCGAGCAGATGGTACATGCTGCCATGACAGTGGCTCTCTCCTGAGTGTGTGTGGTGATAGCTGGTTTATCCTGGGTGCCATGATTGCTCATGCACCACAGGTGTGCAGCCCCACCCAGCCCCAGAGTCTAAATAGTCTGACTCGGGCCAGGTGAGGCTGTAAACCAGCCATCAACCACACACACTCCCCATACACTCCATACACAGATGGGTGGACACGTACCTTGAGCGTTTACAAGCGCCCTGTTTATTAACTGCCATTCATTCTCATCCGTTCGTTCTATAAAAATCAACACTTAAGCGAGGTAATCATTTTTCAAATGTGCCATCGTGGTCATTTTCTGACGGTGGATAAGAAGACACTTTTTCATGGCATTACATTACAAATTTGAACCATTTTGGTGAAAACTGCTATTATTATTCAATCTTGGTAATTTCTTCATGGATATTCATGAGAGCACTGCGTTCAATGCCATGATAGCTGCCAACTACTCCACATGTTAAAGCTACGTTCACTTTTTTAGCACTGCTGTCCAATTGCACATGGGAGAAGTTTGCCTTCAGTCAAGAAAGCTAACCCTAACCCTAAACCTAACCAAGTAGTTTTGTTGCCTAACCCTAACCCTAAACCTAACCAAGTAGTTGTGTTGCCTAAACCTAACCAAGTAGTTATGTTGCCTAAAACTAACCAAACTGCAAATCTAACAAAACTCAAAATGAAGTCTAAAAACAACACAGGGTTCAGGACACGAACCCCAGTCTCCTGGGTAAAAACCCTATGCTTGACCCATTCATCCACTACGACATTCTCCCTACATGTACTTTGTTGCTCTTTATACTACTTTATAGCTTTCTGACACAAAGATTTCTCCCATGTGCTGTCCAATTCATCTGATAACTTTCAAAGCAAGTATCTTAGATCTGTCACATTATGGTCAACAGGAGTGGCATAGCTCTCTCTCTATAATAGCTCTGGTGAAAGTTAACCCCCCTATTTCAGCTCAAATTCAAACACTGAGATTTAAAAAAAGTGTTTTGGGGTGAGAGTTGAAGGGGGGAGGGGGGACGTGTTATCTCCATGGTTACAGCTCATGGCAAATTTGTGATACTTTTTTTAAGATAGTTACGCATCATTGAGTGCGAGCTCTTCCTTCTTCGTGACGACATCATGAAAAAAATGGGACTTGATTTCGAGGCAGAGTAGAACGTTCACAAACTGGTTTGCGGAGACTGGCAAAAACATATGATTTTACACCTGTTTTTTTCTAAATGACAGTATTATTTCAGTAGCAGTTCCAAATGGCATAGACAATTATGTTCAAGATCATACAACACTCATACAACACACGTTGAAAACCAAAAACACGATTTTGGGTTCACTGGCAGTTTAATAGTTTGGTCTTTGCTCAACCTTAGCATTCATTATTACACAATCCAACTCCTCAAGCAGTTTTACATTCAACCATTGACATTTTCAGAATTATTAAAAAAACAGTGAATATAATAAAAAACACAAGTGTGATGCTCTGTTAAAGGTCCAAAGTGTAGTATTTCGTGGCCTCTAGTGGAACAAACTTGGCAGAAATTGAATATAATATTCCTAAGTATGTTTTCATTAGTGTATAATGACCTGAAAATAATTATCGTTGTGTTTTCGTTCACTTAGAATGAGCCGTTTATATTTACATGGGGAGCAGGTCACCTTCCACAGAAGCCACTATGTTGCCATGTTTCAACAGTAGCCCAGAACCGACAAACGGCTCTAGAGAAATAAAGCCTTCGCCATTGCATATTGTTGTTGAGACTAAATAGGTTCGGTCGCCAACATTTAGTAGCTGGCCCAGGGGGACGGAGTTCCCCCGCCTTCGATACTTTTTACAGTAATGTCCGCCCGCCAGGGACGTCCTGACATCAAAACCGAAAATGACATTTATAGCAGCATAGTGCTACTGTGGTGGTGTATTAAGATTATTTCAATAGCAGATAGGGCTATGTAGTTTGAAAGTGTTTTTTTAAGTTAGACACCGCTAGACACCGTGTGTCTAGCGGTGTCTACCTGCCCAGGAGACGGGGCTTCCAAGTGTAACCGTCGGGCAGCAGCACTCCTCTCTATAGAGCCATCGTTTGGTCTATATTTCTACACAATAGACAAATTACAAAGTACCCTGCCCTAATCAATAGCCTAACTAAAGTGCAATTAAACCAGATACGTCTCACGTTACAAAACATTCCAAATGGATATAATATATAATATTAAAATCACTGTTAAGAAATGTATCCCGCTAGCTCTACAACAGTAAAAGCAGGTAAAAAAAACTGTGTGGCCAGTGGAGCTCCAGTGTGAATGTAACGTACATAGACTGTATATAATACAGGTGACTTTCGATATGTGTACATTGGTGGAAACTATAACAGACTTAAACAATATTGCACCCCTAGTACCTACTGGCAACTTACAGGCCAGTACAGGCCACCGTAGCTTCTCCTACGTCGTTGGAAAGGGAGAGGTGAGAGGGAGGTATTCAGTTTGTTGTAATCTGCAACCTCACCGCTAAATTTTACACACTGTACCTTTAAGGCTGCTAGAGGAAACTGTGTGAGCCTGATGTTACGCTAAGGCTGGTAGAGGAAACTGGGAGCTTGAATGGGCATATCTGCTCCAGAGAGTCAGCCATCATCAACTCAATCCCCAAAATGGAGGCCGGCCCTCCCCTGCCTTGACATGATTTCTACTGAAGCTTTGAGGAATGTTTTATTGCCGCATGTCACTAGACAGTGAAAAGAAATATGTGATGAAACACGAACCCATGTTCATGTACTTTAATCCTGTATAGGGAATGTGTGCCTCAAAATATATCAGCGTATGTTTGTGCATGTGTGTGCATGGGTGTATGCGTGTGTTTGTGTGTTGGAGTGCGTATGTATGTCTGTGTGTGAGTGTGTACTGTATGTGTGTGTGTTATATGCATAGGGCTTTAGTCATCACCGCCTGTAGCAGTGGAGGCTGGTGACTTTAGAAATTGGGGAGGAAAAGAGGCATCTTTTTTTGTATACAAAGCATTTATTCATCAAATAAATTATGTTTTGAAGTAGTCAACATTCTTTACGATCCCACAATGTATTTTATAAAAGACCACGAAGAACACACACACAAAACACACACA